AGTTTAAGGGAGTGAGCTTTATCCTTTCATGTGTAAGGTATTGGACACCCTTTAGGCAATATATTACTTACATCCTTATGAGACCAAAGCAAACCCCTTGACTATAACTATCAATTTTCTTGGCATTTTATTTTATCAAGTTATACGACCAATAATACTAGAAACAAAAATCCCTCTGGACATATTTTTGCTGTTGTGTTAGAGTTAGATACATTAGGAACAATCGCAGGCACTACAAGGGATACATATCTATTCTACTGAATGTCTTTTTTTTTTATTACTTAACTAATTTATATACATTATAAAAAGATGTTCTAATGTAATGATTTAATAATTCATCAGTTTCCTCATACAGCTTCTTTAAAGTCTATTCTACAGTGACATTTCAGTTAGCACTGTTGCTTTTTTTCCTCAAAATTTCACAGTAAGTGCAATATTTAAAAAAAACCCAAACTTCAGTGAGTTCTAGCCCCCAGCAATGACCCTAAAAAACACCAAGTGCACTGTACTTGAGATTTTACCTTCTGTACTACCTCTAAAGTACTTGTATATACATTTGTTCATTGATTTCAAAACATATGAATCATTTACTTTTTTGCCCCTATTTTCTTTATCTCTCCCCTAAGTTCATGGTTTTTTTATTTTGTTTCTTTCTTTCTTTCTTCCTTTTTGGTTTATACTTTCTGTATCTATGAGCAATCCCTCTAATGTAAGACAAGAGTCATGATTTAGTCTGTGGACAGTTAAAAATATTGAGAAATGAAAGATGTTAAAGATTTATTGTATCAAAAAATATATAATCTCATTTCAGCATTTCACTTTTTTCAAACAATGTAACTTTTATTTGCCTTTTATTACAGTATGTCAATTGTTACACATGCTGTATTTCTTTAGTTGCTGCTATCCCTTCCTGCAAATGTGTTCCCCGAGGGAAAATTTGCTCTCTTTTCACAAAAGCAGAAGCAAGTGCAAACCAGAAATCCGAGAGAGGTGTTCACTCAGCTCTACAGGGGGATTTGCATGATTTGTCATGTGACAGTTCAGCAGAACTTTCTGTGCTGCCTGTGGTACTGTTTATAAACTATGACTTGTTTGTGGAATGATGTACTTTCCTTCATAAAACAAGTAGCTCCTCAAAAAGTAAGCAGTACATGAAAAAACTAATCAGCTTTGTGCTGTATCATTCTAGTCATGTAACTTGGAATAATCATTCAGTAAGAGTTGAAATGATTGCTTTCAGCCATGTTGAAATAATTGTTTTTAGCCATAAGAAAGCAATCCCCACTTTTAAAAGGAATACTCTGGATTCTCTGTTTTCATCATGTACTGATAAGCCTTGTACTTCCGCACAGGGTTTCACTGGGGTTTGAAACTGTACCAAGGAAAAGGCATCTCTTTGTGGTACTTGGGGTTTTTACTCTGTAAATAGTTCAGTGAGCGTTCTCATTTTCAGTGACTAATGATAACTTCCATGGTGATTGTAGCTCAGCCAGCTACCAAAGGCAGGAGCAGACAAGGAGCACTCATATCATCCATTGCTGTAACTCAGTGCTCACATGAGGAGCATTGCCAAGTGATTTCAGGAGAGGGTGACATTAGGGAACTTGCACTTTGGAAAACCGTCAGGTGTGAGCTAATCTGAAATCAGCTATGATCAGAAAAGAATGTATATTCATAGCTTTTCATACATTGAAGGTTTGCAGTGTTGAGTGGGATGTGAATCCTGTAAAACTGAGCCTTTAGTAGGTGCCAAGACTGGCCTAGTAGTCTGAAGGGGTGTCTAGGTGTTCAGGTAATCAGATACATGTTCATACAAAGGATTTTTGCATTTTTCTATTAGTACAAAAAAGACTGAAAAGAGCTTAAATGTTCAAGGAATCGCCTGCCACAGTGCAGTTCTTGATCCAAAGTAAACACACCAAGCTCCATGACCAACACATTTTCCTAAGCTAAGGCACTGTTGCTTTAGCTTAGCTGTAGCCTGAATGCAGCTCAGCCACATTGGATGCATACTGTGCTTAGCAAGATTGAGCCTGGATCTGAATGCCAAACTCACTTGTTGCAACAGGCTGTTAGAGAAATACTGGTTCAGTCTCCTGTAACATCACCAGTGCTTGACCTTCAGACCCCTCCACATACAAACCCAGGGCTGTGCTCTGTCCTTGAGTGCCGTCCAGACCCCTGCCTGGAGACAGCACCTGCCTGAGCCCCCCTCCACAGCCAACATATAAATCAGTGGGAAGGACCCAAAAGTGAGCATTGCTGATAAGGCCTATGCACCCAAGGGAGAGGTTAGATTCCCTGCTGTGGTACAGCTCCGTAAGACACTCAACTAGCCTGTGAGGGACCCAGTTCAAACTTTTCTTCCCCTGGTTTGGAGCAGCAATTTGACCTCAAGTCACAGTCCCCAGGAGACAAGCCCCAGCTACTATGCCATAGAGCAGTTCTCCTAGTGCCAAGTTCATTCAGCTTGGAGAAAATGGTGTGTCTCTGGGCTTTCAGTGACCACACCTGCACATTTCTTACAAATGTGTTCTAAGTCTTTTAAAAAAGCTACAAGATGTAATATTTTTTAAAAAACAACATGTTTATTAGGAAAATATACCTGTGTCAATATCTAATGCATTCTCAGGTGATTTGATTCTCATTATTCAAACAATGGTGTTAGTTTGATGTTTTGTGCAATCCCATGACAGTACTTCAATGATCCAGACAGGCTGAAACAAATAGTTCTGAGTATGCTCATGGGAAACACACAGGAAACAAAAAAAAAAGTATGGGCCATTAAAACTCAAGTCTAACTGAAGCTTCTTTATATCATTTTCATGACTGTACAAATGTCAGGATAAGTTGAACTGTTTTGACAGCAAAACAACCCAAATTAGAAAGCTTGCATGTGCATACAGTTCAGGTATTGTAAGAAATAAGCTGGTCTTTTCCTTTTTCCATACACGTGTGATGGCAGGTGCCACGTAGAAGCAGGAGTGATGTCCTTATGCCCTCTTCCTCGTCCCTTTCTACTTAGCTGTTGACAAAAACTGCTTCTTATTGAAAAATGTTTCCATAACTGTTCTTCAAAAACTCCTTAAAAGCCCTAGTATAAGGACTTTGGTTTTATTTGGTCTCATGAGAAGGGGTTAACTTACTTGACTAATGCAAAACCCCTAAAAGACATCTCTGAATTTGGGATGAAAAGGCATTTCCCTCCAGTCTAGAGGCACATTTCCAGCTTAGACGTGCTTAGATCTGTGCCCACTCCTTGGCACAGCTGTTGACTGGCTTGTCCTCTCTACTCCACACTGCTGGCTTCTGCACGTCCCATTTCTTCTGTGCTCCTTCACAGGGGTCACTGGGTGCCACCTCAGGTGGTAGATCTCAGAAAGACAAGCAAGGTGAGCCACTGCCTTGTGAATCACTTCTTTACAGTTGATTGCTACTTTAGCTGATTGAATAAAGAGAACACCTGCAATAGCATATAATTCCTGTTGCAATAAAAGCAATTGACTGCTAATTTTCACCAGATGCCTTCTGTACATCACTGTCCTCTTCATATTCCCTAGCATTGAACATCTCGGATAAATAAGACATTAGTACCTAGTACAATTTTAAAATCTGAGGGTTGCAAGGGGGGTACAGTTACTTTAATTTTAGAATCATATAGCATCTCCATCCCTGTTTCTCCCTAATTCTTATCACTTGGATTCTGCTGTGCAACCTTTTTCCGGGATCCTTCTTTTTCCTCTTTACATTTTTTAAAATTGCATGATATAAAAAAGCCCACCTTCTGAAATTCACTGTGCTGGGGAATAGGGCATTCTTAAGTTCTTTCCATAAACTTCTGTCTTGCAGATGGGATTTCTTTGCCACAAACACATCCACTTTCGGGGGCTGAGATTTTACTGCCAAACACTGGAACAAAATTAGTGTGGCACCATGCAGTGCAGAATAGGAACCTTTGTATTTTGTTTGTTCTTAACATAGATTGTGTTGCAGATGCTAGGTAGATCCACCATTTTTCTTCTTGCTTTGCTTTCAGTTTCATTATTTAAGTAGCTACATTTATACAGTAGACTGCTTTAGACAAGCAGATGGAAGAACTTGGTAAATTCTGAAGAATACCCATTAATATTACGCAATATATTCTCAGCAAACTGCTCTTATGCCATCACACCATGTCTGACCATCCCACCTAATCATACTTGAAATCATTGGATCATTCCAGCCAAGGGAAGCCAGAAGTCTCAAAGACATTTCTTGAAGTTCAGTGTAGATCTCAGATGTCTTCTCCAAGTATGCTCCGTGCTATTACTCAAGACTATGAGTATGGGGGAGAAACCCTAGAACCAGTTTTAGGGAAGGCTTTGCTTGGAGCTCACAATCAGGCATTTGTCAGAAAACAGGGCTCTGGTAGGCAAGTATGGCAAATTAAAATGGGAGGGCTGAAGGTGTTGCTGCCTGGTCTGCCCATCCCGGCCAAGGCAGGAATGGTTGAAACTCTCATCAATGAAGGTTTGAACCACCACGGTGCTCAGCTTGGTCAGCGAATGCTGACTGTGGTTTTATGGTACCTGTAGCCTGTGTGAACAGGGTTTACCTGTCCCAGTAACTTCTATTTCTGGTCGGATGCCCTCAGAAACCCCCCGAGTTCGGGTTTAAGGCAGCACCCAAGTGGTCGGGGTAGCATCACACCCTGACTCGCGGGCAGGTCCGCCGGGGCGGAGGCGCTGCAGTTGCCCGGGCGGGGCGGCAGCTGCCGGGCGGATCGGCGGGCGGGTTGCCGGTCCGTGTGGGCACCTTCCCCCGGGCGGGGCCGGGGCCGGGGCCGGTACGTGCGCGGCCACACGTCCCGGCGGTGGCTCCGGACACGCGGCCCGAGGGTGGGCACGGGGGCGGCTCGCGCGCGCCGCGCCGCTCGGGCCCAACCGTCTCGGCAACGGGCGGCGCGAGGGCGCGCGCGTTGCCACGAGACGCGGGGCGCGCGGGGGAGGGGGTTACGTGGTGACGTTAATTCTATATGAGCGCGAGCGGCGGGAGCGCGGGTCCTTTCAAAACGCCGGCCGCGCGGCGCCTGCCGCCTCGCTGTCCTGAAGTCACCGGCCCGCGGGCCGCGCAGGTACCGCGGGGCGCTCCTGCGCCGCCGCCCTGGGCCGGGAGGGCGGGGGGCTACCGGGGGGCGCTGGGCCCTCGCTTCCCGCGGGGGGGGGAGCCCGCGGGGGCCGGCCGCCGGCTAGCGGGGCCCCGCGGCTGGCGGGGCGCGGGGGCCGGCGGTGCCCGCGCCGCACCGAGCTCCCCCCGTGCGCCCGCGGGGCGGCGGCGCCGCTGCTCGGGGCCAGGCCCGCGGCGCGGAGGGCTGCCGCCGCCTCCCGCGCACCCCTCCGCCGCGCCCGCGGAGCGCCGGGGCCGGGCCGGGCTGGGGCGTGCGGCTCGGCGGGCCGGGGGGAGGCGGGTCGGCCCGCAACACGTGGGCGCAGAGCGGAGCCCTGCCCGGCGCGGCCGGGGAGCTGCAGGGCTGCGGGGCCGGAAAGCGGCGCGGGGAGGAGGAGCGGATGAGCGTGTCCGACCGGGCGCGGGGGTCTCGGGGCCGGGCCGGTGGGGGCCCCGGGCCGTGTGCGCGCACATGGCGGAGCGGGGGACGGCGGCGATGGCTGTGAGTCGTGGCCTTGTGCCGCCTCCCGCGCCTTGTTCCTGCTCCCGTGGAGAGCCACGGCTCGGGTGTGCTGTGCTGTGCTGCTGGCAGGGGGACCCAGAGATTCAGCCAGAGGACGAGCAAGTCCCGTTTCCTGCCTCAGGGTAGAGCGGTGTTCGGGAGTTCAACATGTCGCTTCTCCGGGTGTCTGCTAGCTAGTATCATCCAAAATGAGCCTGTCACCAAAGAAGGCAAAGAAGCTACCTGGAAGGTTCAGTAACTAAAAGTGGAAGTAGTGTCTTGTGTTCAGCATTCATAAATATCTACCTACATATAAAACTCTTATTTACTCCCTATTAAATGAGGAGGGGACTTACACTTCCAATACTTGTGAGGCTTTCAATAATTAATAAAAACTTTCCTCATTCACTTGCAGAAGAAAACACAAAACTTTTTAAAATGACTGATAGAGTAATAACATGGCACCTTCCACCATTCATCTCCAAGCATACTGCAGATTTGTGTACGTGTCCGTTTGTGTTTGAAGCCCTATTGAGATACACCTGTGTTTCACATTTTAACTCATTTGAGGAGGGTAGGAGAAGTGGGCACCGTGTGTGCAAGGTATGACAAATACTCTGCTGCTCAGCCCCTCTTGGGATTTTAACATCTACTGGTAGATGTTACATTAATCTGGCAGGAGATAATGCCTGATAATTTTAATTACAATCATGAAATGAAACTTAAGAGCTAAGGCCTAAGGCTGTGAACTGCTGTAGGTAGTTTCTGACAAAAATGTTAGTAGCCTGTTAGTAGCCTTCCTGCTGTGCCCCTTTTACAATGGTACTCTTTAAAGAATGAGAAAAGCACTGTACTGGGTTGAAGCAAGTTAAATGGCTTCCAGTCCCTCGTAAATACAGAAATGATATTAATCCATAGAGCAAAATAAGAATTTAAAATCTGCATCCATGGAAATTTGAGTGACTTGGATACCTCTGTACCAGACAAAAGTTTAGGCCACTCAGGCTTCAGGTACCTCAAACATTGTTTTAAGTGCTTATAATAAGCCATTGATACCTGATCTTACATTTCTGTGGCCCACTTAGTCCTGTGGGAGGGATATATATCAGCAGTCTCCTTGCCCTCCACTTTTTCTCTGTTTTGTGACAGGTCTTGCATATCATGTGCTCTGGTTTCTGAGGACAGAGGATTGTAGAATGATGGTCCTGTGCACAGGTGGTAGATTGGTGTTTTTCAGAGCCCCTGGTCCTTTTCTGACTTGCACAGGAGTAGGAAGTAAGTGCTGGGATGGCTGGAAGCACGCAGAAGCACCATGCTGCATCTATGCTGCCAGATCTGCAGCACTGTCTTTGTGTACAGCAGAGTAATGCTCCTGCCACCCTTGTGTGTCATCTAGCCCCTGCCTCACAAACTATTTCTGGAAGGAGGTGGGGTACTAGTTATGGTGACCTGCTTACTGAGCATCCTGGAAATGGGTGGTCTGGTTTTCTCCTGGCTTCTTGTGTAATTGACAGTGAGTATGGGCACACAAGTGAGAATGAAACCAAAGCACTGTGGGCATGGATGTCATGAAGCTTTAACAACTGAGTTTTCACAACCCTGAGTGAGACCTGAGTCTTCATTTTCTCCAGTACATAACTCCAGATCTTCAAGAAAACTTTGGCTTACCCTGTACATTTGGTAAAAAGGTGTTGATTCACTAAGCTAAAAGTTGAAGCAATTGTAACATAGCTTATCCTGTTGTGGCAGAGATTGTATTCTTTCAGGGAATAATATAGCTTGAGGATATTAGTTTCAATAGAGAAAAATCTCAGGGGGAATAAATTAAGAATCTTTTATTTTTAATTTTGGTTCAATCCTTTGGTGAAAGCCAGTTTATTCCAGTAGACCAGGGGGTATAATGGACATGTGTGTGATATCTTAACCTTTTTGTTAATGTAGTTGTAACCCAGTTCACGTTAAGGTTCTTGTGAAACAGCTGCAAACATGGTGTATCTCAAACTAAGGATCTGGTTCTTGCTTCTTTGAAGAAACTTCAGGAATTAGGTTGCAGAAAATGGAGATGCAGGTGTTCTTTCAGTGCCTGTTTGCTTTTCTGCATCGGTGTATACATTCAGTGGAACTTCAGCTCTGTGTTTTTCCATGAATTGATACTGCTTTGATATTTGTGTGGTACTAACAGGCACTTGCACAGAAGACAGTACTTTGCAGACAGAAACAAGACTTCTTAATGCTGGTTTTATTTTACTAGAGCTGAGGAATCTTCTGAGTTAGTATCTGGTCTGGGCAACTGCAATCCAACTTCTCGTTAGGGAAGCAGTTAGTAAATAATAGAGTAGAACTGCATAGTTAGTACAAGTGGTGTTTAATCCAAGGAAGGGTTGTGATGATAGTTTTAATGCTTAGGTCAGTTTTCATTTGTAAATTACGTAGGGCTCAAAAGTGATTATAATTAAAGCTAATTCAATCTAGCTGATTCTCACTCAGCTCAGGGTTAGTGCATTTCCTCATCACCTAACGTTGTTAATCTGGAGAGTAGGTCTGGTGTCATAATGTGTTTGTCTAGAAAACCAGACATGTCTGAAAGGCATCAAAGAAGTTGCTTGGGGATTCATTTGATGACCTTCTGAAAAATTAAGCTATTTAGAAGCAATGTGTGAGGGTTTTGAGGACTTCTTACACTAAATGATTCTATGATTTTGTGATTCAACAAAGTTGATGCAAAGGGAAAAAATCTAATACCGATATGGTATTTAGCCACAACCTTGACCTTAAGTTTTCAGGAAGACTACACATATTGAAGACTAAAACTTCAGTTGACTCAAAAAAAAAAAGACCGTTTTGATAACTTACCTTTGATACTCTATGTTTAGTTTAAAAATGTAAATAATTTCAGATATGAAGTAACTTATGTTCTTCCTAAAGATTATTCTTTTAGGTGAACTTACATCATCTGCTTGAATGAAAACATCATCTACATCTTAACTACTTGTCACAGGTTAAACTGGAGATCTCCCTAAATGGAAAGCTGTTCAGATTTTAGTGATTTTAGTGCAGGAGAATACAAATGCATTTGGGAGCTGAATGTGTGCTTAAATGTAAATCTGCACAGACATGATTTACAATGGCGATGTCTAATTTTAAAGCTTAACTTGCCATAATAAATAGACAGTTTTACATCAGCTGTTTCACCTGGTCTTTGAGGACTTTAGAACAAAATACTAGCAGTTTATCCTTAGTAGCTTTTTATGATCAGAAGGTGAAAGCAAATCTTAGATGTGAAAACCGGTTTTTGGATGTACCTGTAACCTTAAAGCATTCGATTGCTTGATTTTACATTTACATTTATTCTTTAAAAAAATAGCACTACCACCACCCAAATAACAACCAAACAATGAAGAAACCTCCACCCAAAACATGAGAGATATTAGAAGTGTTGAAAATTCTGGTTAAGAGATTTGACTAAGTGGGTGCCTGAAATCTGGAATGGACAAACACCTAAACTTCTAAGACCCAGGTTAGAATCATAAATGCTTGTTATCTTTTCTGACCATCTGCACTAAGGTTAGTTCAGTCCACTACTTTATTTAGGTATTGTTTAATATGTGATGCTTAAAGGAAGGCAGTTCTTTCACATTGCTTGTGGAATGACTTGCCCATGAAGGGAGAAGGTCATTCTAGGTCTGACCCTAGTTAAAAACTTGACTTAAGCATTAAAAGATCAAGTTGAGGAACACAGGGAGGAGACATGAAATAAAACAATTAACTGTTTACATGGAAAACAATTTTGAATCAGTTGTTTTTGAACTTCTTGTTAATGTAGGTATTTTTGTGTCATTTCTTGTTCACCTCTCATACTATTAGTATAAGACATAAACTGCTTATGTTCCTCAGGTATTCATGTTGCTAGGCCCTGAACTGAGCTATTTCCTCTCTTCTGCAACCTGAACAGTGAATACAGTGTTTTTATTAAGGATACATTAACGAAGTGTATAATGATCATATTTTGCATTGTGTGTTTTAGTCACCATGCATTCATTTCAGATCTTGCTACTTCTGCATGTTGAGTAAAAATCTTTAGTGGGCTGCATGCAATTATATGTCTTTGCGCAGAAATTATTTGACCTTTTGAATTCTAAGTTAGTTGGAATTGCATCTTTTGATTTGTGTTACTTTAGGTTTTAATACTATTTATTTTGCCTTGCTTGGGTCACTGCTTTAAGCAGTTCTTAATTCTGTGACACCCCAGTTTTGGAAATTACTCATCTTGACTTTGAAGCGTTAAGTATGAGCTGGTGTAGGTGCTTTATGCGTGTGCAGGGTAGCATCATCAGGAACATGCTTGCTCTGTTTGACCTGGTGAGATATTCATGACACAACCTCTTGATTCTTTTATCACCATCTTCACAGAATCACAGAATATGATGAGTTGGAAGGGACTCATAAGGATCATCAAGTCCAACTCT